CCCCAAAACCCCAAAACCCCAAAACCCCAACATATGATAGTCTATATTAATTTATTTAAAATTATTTGCAAAATGAAAGAATAATTCAAAAGTCTAAAAAGAACATACTCAAAAATTGGGATAAAGTCTCTTCTGTCATACAATATCCTTATAGCAATTACCTGGTACATATTTCTGTTTGTTTAGCAAGATGATTACTCTTAATTCAGCATTCAACCTTTGTAGGACAATATAAATAGGTATACTTTTAGGACAATGATAATTGATGAATCATAAATAGATAACAAGCAGCTTTTGACAAAATTGACTAATAAACTACAAAATTATTACAATGTGGCGATTATTCACTCTAATGTGGATCCTAATTGTGACTCAGATATGAATTGCCCTTACTTTATAAGATTTGTGGAAAATAAATAGTTGAAAAAACTCACCCTCGATATTAGTGATACCAGGATGAAGGTTTCTATTCAAGATCAGGGAATATAATTAACCAAAGATTTTGAATAAATCTTTTTTAGAGTTCTAGAATAAGGGGGTAAGATAATTGGCCATTATGATAGTTAGAGTAGAAAAACAATCAGTAATGTTAAACTGATTCACATCACTCATCATTTGATGCTTGACAATAAGTTGAATTTGGGCAAGTATGATTCTCAAATCTTACAGAAAATTATTGAAAATCATGCAGAGGAGCTTTTAGTAAGGATTTATGGAGATTTGTTCCCTCAGCCTGATTTTGTATTTACTTCTAGACCATTCTCTATTTAGTAATTCTCAAAAGCAGTTATTTAAAATGAAGACTAATATACTATTAAGTCAGAGTAAATTCTAGAGCATTTTTCCAAGAATTAAGAATATCATCAGATCCCTTAATATTCAATCCATAAAAGTGATAAGAATAAGTATCTAAAAATTCATCTTTTTGACAGTTAACTGCTTAATATGGACTTAAAATTATCTAAGGATAAAAGTGCAGGGGAATAATTTGAATATGTACTTTCAATTACTGATGATTACAGCTTAGCAGTGGTCAATACATCTTCTGAAAATAAAGATTAAGTTACTTAAAAAATCAGAACTATACTAATAAATGCTATTTAAAAAGCTCTAACAATTGACACTTTCAATGACCTCATTAATTTAGCTAAAAAGAAGAAAATTTAATTAAATTTTTAAGATAATAGTTAATTGATTACTCGAGATTATTAATTGCAAGTATTTTAGAGAAATTAAATAGTTTTTGACAAAGTTTAAGACATAAAAGATTTTATATCAATTATCGAGGTTCTCAAACTGAATGAACTTGAAAAAAATAAATTGATTTTTAATAACTAATCTGTTTTTGAACTAGTAAATGAAATATACAAAAGTTTGTCAAAAGAATAAGGAGACAATTTAACTATGAATGATGAATATATAAAAAATGCTCTTGGGGTATTATACCAAACAAAAGAGATTAACCCACCCTATTACTTCTCACTATCATTCTCCATTGGAGTATATTTGCCTTTACTTTCACCGTTAATATTCCCACCCTTGCTAACATTATTTTAATACATAAAGGCAAAATATATAGGGAAAAATGTTCAAAAGAAAATAAAGAATGAATGATAACTATTTAGATGCTCAAATATTAATTAATTGATTTACGATCCAAGATTGGCATAATATTCAAATTGGGTTCTAGGGGTTTTGGGGTTTTGGGG